AGTTTTGCTGTTGCAAAGTCGGCAGTTTGGATTGTCGGTGGATTTTTGTATCTTCGCTTTCGTGGCATTCGTTTGTAGGGCTTGTTCTTGAGCAGCCAGTATTAAACCTTCCGTTTCTTTCTTGATGGTTCCCATCTTAAGCCAGGCCCATGTAAAATTATCATCACATTTTCCTTCAATGTTTTTCAAGTGCTGTCCACCTATTTAATCTGTTTTTCCTTATATTCCTGCCTTTGTTTCTGTTGTTTTTATAATGTTCTCCCTTTTCACAGCCTGCAGCAATTTTTCTGTACTTCAGATCACATAATGAAACCATCGACAACTGTGATATCATCATCATCATTATTATTATTGGTTAATTTTTTAGTGAGATTCACAGCCTTTGAGGCTGGTTAATAGCTCAGCAGCTCGAGTCCTAACCAAGGAGAACTAGGAACTGTTAAGGTATCGTCGGAGGATGTAAGCTGTTCGAGTAAGGTGGTTTTTTGTAGATTTTTATTATTATTATTTATTATTATTATAATATAATAATAATAATAATAGAATAATTAATTAATAAAATATTAACAACCGTAACCTCTTCAGCCCCTGCAGTAATAATAATAATAATAATAATAATAATTAATAATAATAATAATAATAATAATAATAATAATAATAATAATATTGGAAGAACTCATTCAAGGCTCTCTTCAGCCAGCCTGCAGTTTGAGAGCCCGGGAGGGTATGAAGCCAGCTGGTTTGCCTGCAGCTTCGGATGCTATGGAGAAAGGTTGCCAGCGAAACGGTGGAAGTGAGAATTGAGATGGAAGGGACCGTGCTGGGAAGGGGTAGTGGGTGGGGCCCTTATGGCGGTGAAATCTCCAGGCAGATTTTGCCCAGTCGGACAAGTAAAAAGCCCGACACACAGCTGACTTTTATCATTTAGAAAAGGGTTATATTTTTCTATCCCTTTTGTGGGTTTTGCCTCCAGCTCTTACGCATCCCTGGAAAATGAAGTGAATTCAGTAACGGGATTGTGGGTTGCACGAAGGCAGGAGATCAGTTTTCACTCCCTCTTAACACAGTCTGCAAGGGAAACGGTTATAAACGGTGCTTCTTACCCTGAGAGCGTCGGAAGCAAGAAAATCTATGAAGCTGTGGAACGCAGAAGGAAAGCTAATTTTTTTTTTCCTTTTGCCTCGTTCTTATCCATAGTATTTTGGGAAGCCCCGGAGAACCAGATTTATGGCTTGGCAGTCGATCAGGCGTGCTTGCCGGCAATTGACGACAGGTGACTGCAAATATGAGCAGTTCCTCTTTTCAATGAGGGGACCTGGCTGCTATCCTGAATATTTTTTTTTTCCTGTCCCTTCTCTCTCTGGATATTTTTCCAGCAAACGTTTCTCCCACCGCCCCAAAAGAAAGCAGGGAAAAATGACCGAACAAGAACTGAATTTCAAGTGGAGAACAAATGCTCCATCACTGGAGGCTTTTAAGAAGAGATTGGACAGCCAACTGCCTGGAATGGTATAGGACAGTAATGGCTAACCTTTTCGCCATCGGGTGCCAAAAGTGGGGGGTGCAGGGGGGTTGTGCGCACGCCCCATGGCCCGCCCCTCCATGCTCCCCCTCATTTTGGCACGCGATGACAAAAAGGTTACTGGTGGGCCTGGTAGGCCGTTTTTTGCTCTCCCAACGCCTGGGGAGGGCAAAAACAGCCTTCCCCCACCCAGAGACCAAAAACAGCCCATTTCCTGACTTCCAGTGGGCCCAGAAGGCCTGTTTTGCTCTCCCCAGGTTCCAGAGGCTTTCTTGGCGCCTGGGGAGGGCGAAAACAGCCTTCCCCACCCCCCTGGAGGCCGGAAATGGCCTGTTTCCTGACTTCCAGTAGGCCCAGAAGGCCTGAAAATCAGCTGGCCAGCTAGGGCAACACGCATGTGCCCACAGATATGGCTCTGCGTGCCATAGATTCACCATCACGGGTATAGAGCCATGATGGTGAACCTAGGGCACGGGTGCCCGAAGTGGCACATGGAGCCATGCCACCTGGCACGCGCGGCGTCGCCTGTTCCTCTTCTGGGTTTCTGGTGTGCAACGATCAGCTGGCCTTCGTGCGTGCGGCAGTGCTGAAAACTGGGAGAGCCGATCTTTTAAAAAAAGACTAAAAAGTAAAAAAACTTTGAGTTTTTTTTTTTTTTTTAGTTTTTGATCCCTGGAGCCCAGCGCTAAATGAGAAGCCGGCATATGCAAAAGTCAGAATACTGCAGGCCAGGGATGGTTTCCATTTACTTTTGCTAACAGTTTGCAACGGGAACGTGCGTGTGCTTGCTTTACTCACGTGCGGCACTTCTGCGCAGGCGCTGAGCATCCATGATGACATCCGGGTGTGTGGGCGGAGTCTCCCGCCGCCGTTACTACCGGTTCGCAAGATCTGGACCAAACCGGTAGCAACCCCCCACTGCTGCAGGCCAAATGAGAGTGTTGGGACCCAGGCTCACTTAGTCATTACAAGACACAGTTGTTCCCAAACAAAACAGTTTTATTATAACAGCTGAGAATTACTTCATTCCCAGCTTAGTCCAAATTAATTCCAAAACAAATCCTTCAGAAAAAGTCCTTTGGGCTTATCACAAACCTTTATCTTCTTTGGCACCCTGCCAAAGGCCTTTCTCAGCAAAGCCCCACAAAGTTCAGAAACAAGAGATGCCGACTGGAAAACAGATTTAGCAACGTTGCTTTCTTACAAAGAGCCCAAGAGCCTTTGCTGCTCTTTTAAGCCTTCTGGGAGGGGCCAATCATCTCCTGGCCTTACTCCCGAGTGGTCCTTTTTGCTTTAGCTGCTCTTGCCTTCTGGCAGCTCTGCGCATGCATCCACTAGGAACAGGCTCCTTCTGTTCCTCTGCCTCTCTGCTGTCCGACTCTGGGGGCTCCGGAGTCGGCGCATCGCTCCCAGATGGCCCTGGCCCCATCTCTGCCTCCGACGCAGAGCCCTCGTCCGGGCCTTCCCCAGACTCCAGGACTGGCCCATGTTCCTCCCCAGCCTCCTCACTGTCCGACTCCGCTGCCAGCTCCGCGGGCTGCTGGCGGACCACAAAAGAGAGATCCCCACTGTGAAAAGGCCGAAAATACACACTGTTTGTTCCCCGCTGCTTTGCGATGTCCGTTTGGGGATAAGAATCCCTCCTCCTGGAAGCTTTTTTAGCTTCTTAGAAAAACAACCAAATTATGAACTCGCAGATGTGAAGCCTCTTTTAATCCTGGGAGGTTTGCCAGGAAAGATCTGAAAGCTCTTAATAAAGACGAAACGTTGGATGATTTGTGAGAAAGGGTTATATTTATACACAACATGTCGCTTTTGGCACGTCTCTCTCTCTCTCTGTCTTGTCTTCGTTCTCTTTCGATTGATAATTTTCCTCAGGAAAAAAAAAAGGCTCTTAATGAGGTGATTCAGGAGGCAGAAGCTTTGATGGATTGAGTTGGCTCACCGTAGGAGATATAAATATAAAACCTATACCTGGTCTATGGAAGGATCTCTTCTCGGAAGAGGAGGTGGGCCGGGGAAATGCAAGGAGCCGTTTCCGCGTCTCACATTTTAAAAAAAATGGCTGGAGTTTTTAAGAGCGTGAAGAAAAAATAGGAGGAAGCCAAAGTTCTCAGGGTTAGGCCACGAATGAAAAGGAAATGCCTGGCATTTTGGGGAAAACAGGGCCGGATGGGAGCCACTCAAAGACTTTTTGCCAAACTTTTAGATTCATTAATTTAGAACATGGAGTATTGGAGTTGGAGGGGATCCTGGAGATCTTCTAGTCCAACCTCCTGCTCGAGCAGTGGAAGAGGCAGGAAGGACTCTCAAGGAAAATGGATTGAGGTCTTTTCTTTCTTTCTTTCGTTCTTTCTTTCTTTCTTTTTTCCTTCTTTCCTTCCTTCCTTCCTTTCCTTCTTTCTTTCTTTTCCTCCTTTCTTTCCCTTTCTTTCTTTCTTTCCCTCCCTCCCTCCTTTCTTTCTTTCTCTTCCTTCCTTCCTTTCATTCTTTCTTTTTCTTCTTTCCTTCCTTTCCTTTTTCTTTCTTTCTTTCTTTCTTTCCCTCTTTCTTTCTTTCCTTCTCTTCCTCCCTCCCTTCTTTCTTTTCCTTCCTTCCTTCCATTCTTTCCCTCTTTCTTTCTTTCCTTCCTTCCCTCCCCCTCTCTTCTTTCTTTCTTTCTTTCTTTTTCTTCCTTCCCTTCCTTCCTTCTTTCCTTCCTTCCTTCTTTCCTTCCTTCCTTCCTTTCTTTCTTTCCCTCTTTCTTTCTCTTTCCCTCCCTCCCTCCTCCTCCTTCCTTCCTTCCTTTCTTTCTTTTTCTTCCTTCCTTCCTTCCTTTCCTTCCTTCCTTCCTTCCTTCTTTCTTCCCTCCCTCCCTTCTTTCTTTTCCACCCTCCCTCCCTCCCTCCTTCCTTCCTTCCTTCCTTTCTTTCTTTCTTGCTTTCTTTCTTTTTCTTCCTTCCTTCTTTTTTCTTTCTTTCTTTCCCTCTTTCTTTCTTTCTTTCCTTCCTTTCCTCCCTCCCTTCTTTCTTTTCCTTCCTTCCTTCCTTCCATTCTTTCCCTCTTTCTTTCTTTCTTTCCCTCCCTCCTCCCTCTCTTCTTTCTTTCTTTCTTTCTTTCTTTTTCTTCCTTCCTTCCTTTCCTTCCTTCCTTCCTTCCTTCCTTCCTTTCTTTCCCTCTTTCTTTCCCTTTCCCTCCTTCTCTTCCTTCCTTCCTTTTTTCCTTCCTTCCTTCCTTCCTTCCTTCCTTCCTTCCTTCCTTCCTTCCTTCCTTCCTTCCCTTTAGTACTAACACTGATGACGTTACCTCGCTTGGATGACGAAAGCCCTGCAAGGAAACTACCAAAGTCAGAGAGCACCAAGGACCCCTCAGATTTTTTTCCTGGCTGGTGTCAGGAAGTGCGATCCATTTCTTAGCGGTTCTGCATGTTAAGTTTAGCGGTTCACCCATTTGCCTCCAATTCTGTTCCGACCTCTTGATTCCCCTCTTCTCTTTCTAGGAATGGACACGGAGGACGACGCTTTATTGCAAGACGGGTGCGGCAATGAAGATGAAGAAGGGACTTATGGCCCTGGCATGAAAACCAGAGGGTCCCGCCTCTGTGGGAAATGCCAGTGGAAGCCCAAGCACCGGGCCACTTTCGTGACGCTCCCATCCTCGGATTTTTGGACCGTGGTGGGCTGGGTCTTCACCAACCCTTATTCCGCCAGCCTCATCCTCTTTTTGGGATGCGCCATTCCTGCCGGCTTGGCCCTGACCATGTTCCTCCACTACCCCGCTCTGGACATCGACATCTCGTACAACGCCTTTGAGATCCGCAACCACGAATCGTCGCAGCGCTTCGATGCCCTCACCCTGGCCCTCAAGTCCCAGTTCGGCTTGTGGGGACGCAGCCGCCGAGACCTGGCCGATTTCAGCTCGGAGACCTTACGGAGACTGATTTTTGAGAAACTGCAGCACCTCCAGCGCAACGCCTCGCGGACGGGGGCCCCAAACCTCTCCCGGAGGCAGCGAAGGGACACGGGCCGGAATCAGGCTGGCCCAGCCAACCACACCTCCCACCAATCCCGAAGTCCCGTCCCTCGGTGGGAGTATCCGAGCACCACCGTGAGCGCCAACACCCAGACTCACGCCCACTGGCGCATCGAACTCATCTTCCTCGCTCGGGGAGATGCCGAGAAGAATATCTTCACCTCCGAGCGCCTGTTGACGATCCACGAGGTGGAGCGCAAAATTATGGACCATCCTCACTTCCAGGAGTTTTGCTGGAAGCCTCACGAGGTCCTCAAAGATCTCCCTTTGGGGTCTTACTCCTACTGTTCCCCTCCTAGCTCCCTCATGACCTATTTCTTCCCCACAGAGAGGGGTGGAAAAATATACTACGATGGCCTCGGACAAGAGCTCGCCGACATCCAAGGTGAGCCTTGAGGGTTGGGTGGAGGGACTGGGCCAACCTAGGACAAGGAGTAGTAATAGCACTTAAGACTTATATACCACTTTATAGTGCTTTATAGCGCTGCCTGAATGGTTTACAATGTCAACCTGTTGCCCCCAATAATCTGGGTCCTCATTTTACCAACCTTAGATGGATGGAAGGCTGAGTCAACCTTGAGCTGGTCAGCATCGAACTCCTTGCTGTGGGCAGAGTCAGCCTGCAATACTGTATTCTAACAGGAAGGAAGGAAGGAAGGAAGGAAGGAAGGAAGGAAGGAAGGAAGGAAGGAAGGAAGGAAGGAAGGAAGGAAGGAAGGAAGGTAGCAATAACACTTAGACTTATATACCACTTTATAGTGCTTTATAGCACTGCCTGAACAGTTTACATCAACCTGCTGCCCCCAATAATCCAGGTCTCATTTTACCCACCTCAGAAGGATGGAAGGCTGAGTCAACCTTGAGCCAGGATCGAACTGCTGGCAGTGGGCAGAATTAGCCTGCAATACTGCATTCAAAGCACTGGGAAGGAAGGAGGGAAGGGAAGGGAAGGGAAGGGAAGGGAAGGGAAGGGAAGGAAGGAAGGAAGGAAGGAAGGAAGGAAGGAAGGAAGGAAGGAATAGCACTTAGACTTATATATCACTTCACAGTATTTTACATCCCTCTCTAAGCGGTTTACAGAGTCAGCCTCTTGCCCCCAACAATTTGGGCCCTCATTTTACCCACCTCAGAAGGATGGAAGGCTGAGTCAATCTTGAGCCAATCGGGATCGAACTCCTGACAGCGGGCAGAGATTGCCTGCAGAACTGCATTCTAACCACTGTGCCACCAGGGCTCCTTTAGTAGAGTTGCCAGAGCTCCTGCCTACCCCACGCCTGCTTAAATAATTGCTCCCCTGTGCCCCAAATAGCCAGAGTCAATAAAAGAAGGGAGGAGGAGGAGGGAAGAGGAAAGCAAGCAACTCCACCACTGATTCTCTCCAGCCGCAGTCTTTTCATGCTCTGTAGAACATGCTGGGAATCATACTGTAGCTTGGAGGATACTCAAACAGCAAAGCAGGGCAAAGGAGAAAGTCCCCATCGGACCCGGGGGGCGGGGGTTTCCTCCCCAGACTGCTAAGGAGAAATTTCCTGACAGTTAGAACCAGGAGTGGGCTTCAAAAAATTTTAGCAAGGGATTCTCTGCCTGTTTGCTGGGTGGGCGTGGCCTAGTCGGCCTCCTGCACCATGGTAGGGGGGCCGTTTTTGCCCTCCCCGGGCTTCGGAGGCTTTCCTCGAGCCTGCAAGTTGGTGAAAATGGCCTCCCCGGGCTCCGGAGGCCCTCAGGAGCCCATTTCCGGCCTTCCTGAACTTCTGGTAGGCCTGTTTTTTGCCCTCCCCAGGCGTCCGCACACACTCTGCATTTACCTGCATCCAAAACAGGCTGCATGGGGACTCCTGGGAGGGGCAGGGCGGGGTGGGCGGGGTGAGCCAGGAGTGGGATTTGGGGACTCTCCGAACTGCACAGAATCTTAGCTAGAGGTTCTCCCGAACCCCTGCGAACCCCCAACAGCCCACCCCTGGTCTTAACATTTAGAAAGACTTGTGAATGCTTCAACACTGGAAGGTTTTTAAGAAATGATTGGACAACCCATTTGTCTGAAATGGTACAGGGTTTCCTGCTCAGGCAGGAGGTTGGACTAGAAGACCTCCAAGGTCCCTTCCAACTCCATCATTCCATTACTCTGTTGTTTCCCGCAGGGTCTCTGGAGCTGGCCATGACCCACCCGGAATTCTACTGGTATGTGGACGAGGGCCTCTCGGCCGAGAACAAGAAAAGCTCTCTCTTGCGGAGCGAGGTCCTCTTCGGCGCTCCCCTGCCCAGCTACTATTCCATGGATGACCGCTGGGAAGAACAGTGCCGGAAGTTTCAAAACTTCGTGGTCACTTACGTGGCCTTGCTGGCCAAGGAATCTACCAGGTGAGCACAGAGGTTCTGCCCTGCTCCATCCTCACCTGAGTTTCCAGTCCGAAGGATTGAAATCAGGGTGGGCTTCAAGAATTTTAGCAAGGGGTTCTCTGCCCGGTTGCTGGGTGGGCATGGCCATGGTGGGCGTGGCCTAGTTGGCCTCCTGCACCATGGCAGTGGGTGGGGGGCATTTTTCACCCTCCCCGGACTCTGGAGGCTTTTCTTGAGCCTCCAGGAGGGCGAAAAGCGGCCTCCCCAGGCTCCGGAGGCCCTCTGGGATTTCCAGTAGGCTCGTTTTTCAGCCTCCCCGAGCCTCTGTGCACACACTGCACTTACCTGCATCCAAAACGGGCCGCATGGGGACTCCTGGGAAGGGAGGGGTGGGCGAGGCCAGCCAGGAGTGGGATTTGGGGATTCTCTGAACTGCACAGAATCTTAGCTAGAGGTTCTCCCGAACCCCTGCGAACCCCCAGCAGCCCCACCCCTGGTTGAAATGGATTCTTTCACAATGCGGGGATGGATGAAACATCCGTGGCTCTTCTCCTGTAGAAAGTTAGCCTCTCAGGGACAACAGCAAGATGGGGTTCCAGCCATTGGGAGCTGAGGTTGATGGCTCCAGGAAATAAATCAGAATAAATTTGCGAGTCAACTTAACGGTCGTGACGGCTGGGTCAGGAAACCTTGCAGAGCGAGCTTTCTACATGCGAGCCTCCCCTCTGTAGCCGCAGCACAAAAGGAGCCTGCCTGCTTGAGGGCCCTTTTTCCCGCTGGGGCTGAGAAGTAAAAGTGAGAGGCTCAGCTTTCTCTGCGGGGATGGATCTCGCAAGATTCAGCTCGGATGGGTTCCCTGGGTTCAGTGTCAGGTGTTTGAGTCATGTTGGGGCAGGTCGGGCCCTGTGAATGCAAGGATTAAACCAGCATTCAGAGTTACGTGTCTGATGCAGTGGCCCCCAACTATTCCATCTTGGGCAGGGGACAAGTGAGTGGCAGGTGTGCGTGTGCAGCTCCATTTGTGCATGTGGTGGGCGGGCATGCTCTCCGCTCACACGAACGGATTTCGCGCACGAGTGAAAGTGCCTGCCACTCGCATGAGTGGAGCTTCACGCATCCACGTTTGCCCGTATCTCCTGTGCCTGGTTTCGCACCAGGCCAGTAGTGGACCATGGCCCGGGATTGGGGACTCCTGGTCTGATATATTTCAGATCGTGCTGTTTTCTCTCTCTCTGTCTCTCTCTCTCTCTGTCTCTCTCTCCCTCTTCTCTCCCTGACTCTCTCTCTGTCTCCCTCTCTCTGTCTCCCTCTCTCTGTCTCTCTCTCTCTCTGTCTCTCTGTCTCTCTCTCTCTCTGTCTCTCTCTCTCTCTGTTTCTCTCTCTCTCTCTCTCTCTCTCCTCTCTGTCTCTCTCACTCTCTGTCTCTCTCTCTCTCTCTCTGTTTCTCTTTCTCTCTCTCTCGATTCAGATTTGGAAACCAGTTTGAAAAAGGCCATTTCTACGCAAGGCACAGAGCCAGCGGCATCTGAATCAGATGTGCTCCAGTATCACCAATTCAATACCCATCTTGGATGTTGGCACCACCTGCGTTCAAACTTGCCCCTGAATCCACCGCTCTGTCTCTCTCTGTCTCTCTCTGTCGCTCTCTCTCTCTGTGTCTCTCTCTCTTGTCTCACTCTGTCTCTCTCTCTCCCTCTCTCTCCCTCCCTCCCTCTCTCTGTCTCTCTCTCTCTCTCTATGTCTCTCTGTATCTGTGTCTCTCTCTCTGTGTCTCTCTGTCTCTGTCTCTCTGTCTCTCTGTCTCTCTCTCTCTCTCTCTGTCTCACTCTCTCTCTCTCTCTCCCATCTCTCTCCGTCTCTCTCTCTCTCTCTCCCTCTCTCTCCCTGTCTCTCTCTGTCTCTCTCTGTGTTCACTCCGTCTCTCTCTCTCTCTGTCTCTGTCTCTCTCTGTGTGTGTGTCTCTCTGCTTGATGCTCTTGGCTCAAAGGAGCCATGGAAGCAGAGAAGGAGAGAGAGAAGAGACCTCCAGGAGTCAGCGCAGGAACCCCCTTCCCCAGCCCATCTCCCCTGCTGCGAGGGCTTAATTGCTTCCCTCATTTAATTAACTTTCCCAGACCCCTCTCTCTTCCCCCTCCTAAAGAGCTGGGCTATTTCATGCAGCTTTGGACACAGGCTGCACTTCCTAAAGATACCGAACGATTATCCCCCCCTTTTCTTTTCTTCTTTCAAATAATCAGAGTTTAGGATTCCCTGGAGATCGGCAGCCGAGGGCTTGCATGGCGGATGGAAGTGGGGGGGGAAACGTGCTCTCTTGCACTGTGTGCAGTGCCATACTTCGCTTTTTCGGGGAACGATGTAACTCCCGTGGTTTGGGAGCTGTGATCTATGGCTTAGCGTGTTGTTCTTTATTTAGCCCTCCGTGGTTTATTACACAAATCACAGCTTCCTCCGCAAATTCAGGGCCCTCCGGATTGTAAAACCCGCCCATTCCCCCATTATGTTCACCCCGTCCAGCTGGTTTGGGGTATTTCTAGGGGGAGGTGGCAGATGTAGGGTTTGGCTACGGAGCGTTCAGTCTATTATGCAACCTAGCGATTACAGGTACTCCTCGACTTACGACCACAACTGAGCCCGGAATGTATGTCGCAAAGTGAGAAATTTGCCGAGTGAGTTTCGTCCCGTTTGACGACTGTTCTTGCCGCGCGTTTGTGAAGTGAATCCCTTGCCGTTGTTAAATAAGTAGCACGGTCGTTAAACGAATCTGGCTCCCGCAAGGATTTTGCTTGTCGGAACACACAGTGGTGAAATGTAAAATTTGGTTACTACCAGGTTCTGTGGGTGGCTTGTGGGGGTGGGTAATATGACTGAGTGGGCGTGGCCAACTTTTTTTTTTTTTTACTTTTAAAACCATTTTTTCTACAACCTCTTCGGCTGAAGAGGTTGTAAAAAAAATGCTTTTAAAAGCCTCTGACGATCCCAGCTGACTTCCCTGATCGTCAGAGGCTTTCTTTTTTTTTTTTAAAGCCTCTGACGATCCCAGCTGACTTACCTGATCTGCAAATGCTTTTAAAAGCATTTTTTCGGCCAAAGAGGTTGTAGAAAAAATGCTTTTAAAAATTAAAAAAAAAAGCCTCTGATGATTGTGGGCATGGGGTGCGGTGGCCGCAGGGATTTTTGCTGCCGGTTCTCCGAACCACCCGCCTCCATCGCTACCGGATTGGGCAATCCGGTCCGAACCGGGAGCATTTCACCCCTGGGAACATATGTCCCCCGGGACCGTCATAAATACGAGTCGGTTGCCCAGCACCCGAATGTAAATCACCATGGGGGGGGGGGAGGCTGCAACGGTCATAAGTGTGAAAAAGGGACATCAGACCTGTTGTAACTTTGAACAAAAGTTTTGTTTAGTGACTTAAACGAAATTTTGTAAATCTGGGACTACTGGGTATTTCAGTTTAACCAAGTTAAACGTGTCAGGCCAACCGACCTCCCGGGCTTTTTTTCTGCAGCAAAGTGGAGGTTCTGTACGGCGGAACGGACCTGTTTGATTACGAAGTGAGGAAGATTTTCAAGAATGACATGCTGCTGGCCTTCATCAGCAGCTCCTGCATTGCGGTGCTGGTCTACCTCCTGGCGTCGTGTTCAGGTAAGGAGAACGGCCACTGCTCTGCTCCCGGGACCTCCTCGCACCTGAGACCGGAGGGATTTCCATCCTTTGAGTTCTTGGGGGGAGCTGTGAACCCCCAGCAGTAGGGACCCTGGTTTGGATTGAGGCCTGGAAGAAAGATCACGTGTCAGGGTTCCAAATAACACACCCAACGAAAGAAGACTCCGAGTTCCTTTTTTATTGATGTCATATTGGCACATCTGGGAAAATCCAAATCTGAAAGTTTCCAGGTTTTCGCCACCCAAGTGAAAGTTCAAGTCCCTGCCCAGTCCCCACATAGTCCAATCATCTACTGTCCAAACTGGAGATACCTCCCAATCATCCGACTCCAAGTGCCAGGGCAAGGCGTCCTTGACTCTCTGAGAAAGGAATGTTATTTTGACTACATATCACCTATACTCTATGCAATCCCTCCTCCCATTTTCCCACAATAGGAAAATGTGGCGGGCCTGAAATCCCAAATGCTTCCAGGTCTGACATCATGTTCTTTTTTATCTCCACTTGGACGGATTACGGGGACCCAATCAAATCACTTTATAATGCCTTAGTAAGAACCACACCTAGAATATTGCATCCAGTTTTTGTCACCACATTATAAAAAAAAAAGATGCTGAGACTCTGGAAAGAGTGCAGAGAAGATCACCTGAAAGTGTTAATACCGCTTTATAAGGCCTTGGTAAGGCCACACTCGCAATCCTGCTTTCAGTTTTGGTTGCCACGATGTAAAAAAGATCTGGAGACTAGAAAGAGCGCAGAGAAGAGCAATAAGGATGATTAGAGGACTGGAAGCTAAAACATACGAAGAACGGTTGCAGGAACTGGGTATGTCTAGTTTAATGAAAAGAAGGACTAGGGGAGACATGAGAGCAGTCTTCCAATATCTCAGGGGCTGCCCCAAAGGAGAGGGAGTCAAGCTATTCTCCAAAGCACCTAAGGGCAGGACAAGAAGCAATGGGTGTAAACTACTGAAGGAGAGAAGCAACTTAGAACTAAGGAGAAATTTCCTGACAGTGAGAACAATTCATCAGTGGAACAACTTGCCTCCAGAAGTTGTGAATACTCTAACACTAGACAGTTTTAAAGAAGAGGTTGGATAACCATTTGTCTGAAGTGGTGGAGGTGCCTAAGCAGGGGGTTGGACTAGAAGACCTCCAAGGTCCCTTCCAACTCCCATGCTACGCTACACTACGCTACTCTACTCTACTCTACCCTACTCTACTCTACCCTACCCTACCCTACCTTACATTACCCTACCCTACCCTACCCTACCCTACCCTACCCTACCCTACCCTACCGTACCCTACTCAATTCTATTCTATTCTATTCTATTCTATTCTATTCTATTCTATTCTATTCTATTCTATTCTATTCTATTCTATTCTATTAAGATGATTAGGGGACTAGAGGCTAAAACATAGGAAGAACGTTTGCAGGAATTGGGCCTGGCTAGTTTAGTGAAGAGAAGGACCAGGGGAGACAGGATAGCAGTCTTCCAATATTGGAGGGGCTGCCACGGAGAGGAGGGAGGTCAAGCTATTCTCCAAGGCACCCGAAGGCCAGACAAGGAATAATGGATGGAAACTGAACAAGGAGAGATTCAACCTGGAAATAAGGAGGAATTTCCTGACAGTGGGAACGATCAACCCATGGAACAGAAGTTGCCTTCAGAAGTTGTGGGAGCTTCATCCCTGGAGGCTTTCAAGAAGAGACCGGACTGCTATCGGTCAGAAATGGTGTAGGGGTCTCCCATTTGGGCAGGGGGTTGGACTAGATGACCTACAAATCCCTTCCCACTCTGTTAATCTGTTCTCTTCTCTCTTCCTGCAGTCTTCCTGTCCTTTTTTGGCATTGCTAGCATCGGAATCAGCTGCCTGGTGGCCCTTTTTCTGTACCACATTGTCTTCGGAATCCAGTACCTGGGAATCCTGAACGGAGTGGCGGCCTTTGTCATCGTGGGCATCGGTAAGAGACGATCCAACTGGGTCAGGAGCTGTTCTCCCTCCCCCAAAACTTTGCCTCCTAACCGTCTCCCTCCCTGTGTCATTTCTCAGGGGTGGACGACGTCTTCGTCTTCATCAACACCTATCGGCAGGCCACACATCTGAAAGATCTCAACCTCAGGATGATCTACACCATCCAGACAGCTGGCAAAGCCACCTTCTTCACTTCCTTAACCACGGCTGCGGCGTACGCCGCCAACATTTTTTCCCAGGTGAGCCAAGCTTCCCCACCCATATCAGTCACACACGCCTTAAGCCAGCTTTCCACTGTCTGTTGTGGGCCGCCAGCAGCCTGCACAGATCGTGGCTAATCCCGATGAGGAGGAGGCTGGTGTGGTGTCACTCCAGCAGCCTGTGCAGCCGGTGCTCGCATCCGACAGCGAGGAGGCTGAAGAGGATGTGGTGCCAAAGGCAGAGACTCAGCCAGGGCCTTCAGAACCTCCAGAGGCTCCTTCAAGTGGAGAGAGTGAAGCGGAGGAGCCTCTCCTCAATGCTCGAGCACCCAGGGCTGCCAAAAGGCAGGAGTGGCTACTCAGGAGGAGGAGGTCTCCTCGAGAGTAAGGCTTGAGGATAATTGGCCACTCCCTTAGCCTATTTAAGTCGCACGCCGTTAGTAAGTTTCTTGCTGGAAACAACTTGTAATTATCATCAGAGCATTTTTGGAAAAGTCTTATCGTATCTTGTTTTCTGGGCTGGTTGCCAACCTTTGCCGGACTCTGGTTTATTCTGTCTACTTAATAAATTTGATAAGGACCGTTGGTGTATATCAATATTCTCGGGAATCCGGAGCTGGGGCAGAACACTATCGCTCACTGCTGTCTTCTAAAGGCTTCCAAGCTTCTTCACAGCAGTTAAAAGTACAATTCTAGATGTACCTCTTTCTCTTAAAGCAATGTTTCCCAAGCTTGGTGACTTTAAGATGGGCGGACTTCCATTCCCAGAATTCCCCTGCCAGCAGGGTGAGTGTCAAACCTGAAGCTGACCTGTCCGAGGCCATTTTGAGGCTTCAGTGTTGAGGCCACATTGCAGAGGTGGGTTTCAGCAGGTTCTGACCAGGGGTGGGTTCTAAATTTTTTTACTACTGGTTCTGTGGGCGTGGCTTATTTTGTGGGCATGGCTTGATGGTCATGTGACAATTCTTTAGGATTTAGCAGAGGTACTGGTCTACGAGGCTTTTAACTGCTTGCAGAGCTGTACTGGTCTACCCATTTGTTTTTGGAGGCACCGGTCTACCCATTTGTTTTTGGAGGCACCGGTCTACTCATTTGTTTTTGGAGGCTCCGGTCTACTTATTTGTTTTTGGAGGCTCCAGTCTACTCATTTGTTTTTGGAGGCTCCGATCTACTTATTTATTTTTGGAGGCTCCGGGCTACTCATTTGTTTTTGGAGGATCCGGTCTACTCATTTGTTTTTGGAGGCTCCGGTCTACTTATTTGTTTTTGGAGGCTCCGGTCTACTCATTTGTTTTTGGAGGCTCCGGTCTACTCATTTATTGTTTTTGGATGCTCCGGTCTACTTATTTATTTTTGGAGGCTCCGGTCTACTCATTTGTTTTTGGAGGCTCCGGTCTACTCATTTGTTTTTGGAGGCTCCAATCTACTCATTTGTTTTTGGTTGCTCCAGTCTACTTATTTATTTTTGGAGGCTCCGGTCTACTCATTTGTTTGTGGAGGCACTGGTCTACCACCACACTGCCTTTTAACACTGATCAGCTGTAGGGTGGCCCTTTGAAGCCCCGCGGCAAGAGTTTAAACAGTTTTTTTCCTTCTAGCCGATCAGCTGGTACTCGGGAGGCAGCAATAGATTGGGGGCGGGGCCAAATAAAAGGTAAGAATAACGGGGGGCGGGGGGGCGAGAGGGCCCAGCTCCCGAACAAAGAGAACCAGTTCAATGACATCATATTGTCACCGCTACTGGCTTGGCCGAACCGGGCCAAACCGGGAGGAACCCACCACTGGAATAGAGATAGTTGGGGTTTGTAGCCAAAACAAAATACTTTCTCCTGGGAACCAAGGACACTTCCACAGATGGCTGGAGAGAGGAGGAGTGAAGTTACCAGGCAACCGGGCGACACCTTGATTGGACCATGTGACTGATTGTTTGGGGAAGGGAGAAAACTTTTTAATTAGGTGAAAACGGTGGAGACATTCAGAGTCGGTTTTCACCAGCCTGTGCCAATATGATATATCCAAATAAAACTATTCTTTGAGGAATCTACCTGCCTCTGAGTTACGTTTGCTATGGGTGTATTACTTGGAACCCTGACAGCTGGTTAGGGAATTCTGGGAGTTGAAGTCCACCTATTTTAAAGTCATTATAAAGGCTCGCAAGCTTCTTCACAGCAGTTAGAAGAACAATTCTTAGATTGAACTCTTTCTCTTAAAGCTGTGTTTCCCAAACTTGGCAACTTTAAGATGGGTGGGCTTCAATTGAGAATTGAGAATCTTAAAGTCACCAAGCTTTTCTATAATGTATCTCTCCTGTCTCATCTTGTAATTGGTGTATTATTCTTTTCTCTTTTTCTTTTTTTTCAATTTAGAAGCCAACCAACGTCCTGTTTTATTTGCAACGTTCAAAATGATTTTGTTTTGCTGATTTAATTTTCCTTGCTATTTTCTGTTTGTGCGATCAAATTAATTTTACGTTTTGTCAAATTTATTTTTTCCTTGGATCGTTTTATTTGGGGGTTCCTTCTGTAGATCAAATTCATATTCTTTTTTAAGTTCTTTTAACAGGTTGTCTTGTGTTTGTTGTTTGTCTTTATTTTTCTTCACCGTATATGCAATTGTCAGGCCTCTTATGTACGCTTTTGCCGTGTCCCATAGATTTTGAAGTGAGGTTTGCTCTTTTGTATTCATCTTGAAAAATATATTCATTTCTTTTTCCATCATCTGTACGTATTCCTTATCTTTTAATATTTCCTTATTCATCGTCCATCTTTTCCTTCTCCGTTGTCCTTTCCATATTACTTTTACCGGGTTGTGATCTGCCCACATATTTGTCATTATTTCCACCTCTTCTACGTCCTTTCTGGGTTCTGTCGTCATCCAAACCATGTCTATTCTGTTTTAAAGTGACATCATGACTCTCTTCCTTCTATTGTCCTATCTAATTGTCAAGCCAACAATTTTGTCCTCTTTTATGCAAAAAAACCCATGCTGATTTTTTAAAAAGTAGTGTATTTTTTTTGTTGTTGTTCTTGGATCGCCAGGAGATGGTAACCTGTCTCTGTCAGCATTCTGATGCTGCCATAAAAAGGAGGAGACGAAAATGTTTCCCAATCTCTCAGCCACGTGTTGGAAATGTGGAAAAATGGTCGGCACCTTCTATCATCTATGGTGGACCTGTCCTGAGACCAAAAAGTTCTGGTCAAAAATTCGATATTGGCTTTGTGAAATAACGGGACAGGAGATAGTCCTAGCTCCAGAAATTTTCCTCCTGGGTATAATCGGAGATGGCCTCAATAACAACAAAACGCAACTCATAATCCAGATTACAACTGCGGCTAGACTAGCCTTTGCGAAATACTGTAAAAATAAATCCATACCCTCAGAAGAAATACTAATAAACAAAATCCTAGAGTGTGCAGAAATGGCAAAATTGACGAGTGAGATAAATAATGAGGAGAAATCTAAATATTATGAAGTATGGGGAAATTGGTACAATTGGTTGAAGAACAAGATAAAAACATGACTTTAGGATATGACTTGTTATGTACTCGAAATACGAGTTATATTGCATAGAATATTGTACAGATAAGAATGAAGTTTATCTAACGTATGATTCCGCAAATTGTATAAACGCTGTACCTCTGAAGGAGATAGAGATTGTATATTTTCTTTTATAATGGAAAAATTCAATAAAGTATATTTAAAAAAAAAAAAGGAGGAGATGAGGCTTGACTTTTCACCTACTTATTTTCTCTGTAGATAATATCCCCTAGGAGATGGGATGGTGAGGGGAACATTCCTGTGGGGTGAGGTCAGAAGCTGGGGAGACTGACTTGGAAGATGGCCAATGAGAAGATGAGAATTGGGGAATGGAAAGGGAAGGGTTTGGGGGTCAGAGGGTTAGTATCGGCTACGACGAAGTCGGGGCCAGATCTGTTGTACTCAATAAATGGAATATTTCAGCAAAGATTAATTGTTTGGGAGTGCAATTTATTTGAGATGACATCGAAACCTGACAGTCTCCTGCCTTCTCCCCTGTCTCTTTCCTAGATCCCAGCTGTCCATGACTTTGGCCTCTTCATGTCCTTGATTGTCTCCTGTTGCTGGGTTGGGGTCCTTTTCACTATGCCAGCTGCTCTGGGGATTTGGTCTCTCTACTGGTCCTCGCTGGAAAACACCTGTCAGGCCAGGTAAGGTCAATTGAATCTATTTTAAATTACTGAATTTTTCGGAGTATAAGACGCACTTTCCCCCCCTAAAAGAGGGTGAAAATTTGGGTGCGTCTTATACACCGAATGTAGGCCCACTTGCCAACAGGCCCCCACCCTTTGTCCTCTGCCTCCCAGCAATTTACCACCTTGCAGCAAACAGCCCATTTCAGCTTCAGCACAGCCTGATTAGCACAAGCAGCTGATTGTTGGTTAGAATGGTCTCCCGACCCTCAGCTGTTTCAGGCTGCAGAGATTGCCATTGCCTATTGCTGCGTGGAGGCAAATTGCTGGGAGGCAGATTTTTTTTTCTTGTGCTAATCAGGATGTGCTGAAAATGAAACTAAAGCAGGCTGTTTGCTGTTTGGTGCAAGGAGGAAAATTGCTGGGAGGCAGAGGCAGATTTTTTTTTCTTGTGCTAATCAGGCTGTGCTAAAAATGAAAATGAAACTAAAGCAGGCAGTTTGCTGTTTGCTGCAAGGAGGAAAATTGCTGGGAGGCAGAGGCAGATTTTTTTTTCTTGTGCTAATCAGGCTGTGCTGAAAATGAAAAACTAAAGCAGGCTGTTTGCTGTTTGCTGCAAGGAGGCAAATCACTGAGGCAGAGGCAGATTTTTTTTTTCTTGTGCTAATCAAGCTGTGCTGAAAATAATGAAACTAAAGCAGGCAGTTTGCTGTTTGCTGCAAGGAGGAAAATTGCTGGGAGGCAGAGGCAGAATTTTTTTTTCTTGTTTTCCTCCCCCAAAAAGTTAGGTGCATCTTATAGTCTGGAGCGTCTTATACTCCGAAAAATATGGTAAAAATAAAAATAAATCCGCTTTGTGAAGCAGGCCTGCAAGAGCAGCTGTTCCTCTCGAGCAAAAGAAATCGATTTAGCTGGATTATCAGGGTCCACCCAAAAGAATGTACTCAGATGCTGTTCTCTTTTAGAAGGCACTTTTCGCCTATTCTTCCTTCAAAATGAATGAAAACCAGGAGGAAAAGCGGAAGGAAAAGCAGTCAGTGCTTCCCAATTTGTTTTCCTTAACCAAAACTCTATTTACTGTATCAAGAGAGTCCTTATTTAAACGTTTCTGTTGTCTGAAATTGGTACAGGCAGTCCTCGACTTAACGACCGCAATCGAGCCCAACATTTCTGATGTTAAGTGGGAAATTTGTTAAGTGAGTTTGGCTCCCATTTTACGACTTTTTCGGTCCCATTTGTTAAGTGAATCACTGCAGCTGTTAATTGAGTCACACAGTTGTTAAGTGAATCGGGCTTCCCCATTGACTCTGCTCGTCAGAGGGACGCAAAAGGAAATCACATGACCCCGGGATACCGCAACCGTCCTAAATATGAACCAGTGGCCAAACATCTGAATTTTCGATCCTGTGACCACGGCAGGGGTGGGTTCTACTCACCTTTACTACCGGTTCGCAACGGGATCGCGCGTGCGCAGATCGTCTATGACGACATCCGGGCGTGTATGTGGAGCATCCCACCGGTTTTACTACCGGTTTGCACGAAGCGGACCGAACCGGAAGCAACCCACTGTTGGACCATGGGGATGCTGCAAAGATTGTAATTGTGAAAAATGGGCGTGTCGCTTTTTCCCATGCCGTCGTAACTTTGAATTGTCACTAAATGAACTGTCGTAAATCGAGAACTACCTGTAAAGGGTTTGCGTGTCGTTACCCAAAGAGAAAAAAAAAACCCCCAACGTTTACCGAATTTGGAGTAACGTCCTTAAATTTGGCAAGCACAGTGTTCAACGATATGGTGAATGAAACCCAGCTACCTGGGAGGGGGCTCCAGACAGTCCCCCCCCAACTCCTTCTCTTTCCGTCCGCCTGCCCAATGCATTAGCGACGGTAATTGCTCAGACACCAGGTGCACCTGATCCTTGCCTGGTGTTGTAGCTGTTTTGCAGCCCCCTTCGCTCCGCCAACAAAGCCGGGCACAGCTGTCTCACCCGGATAGAAAGCGCTGTGAGATTCATTTGGCATTGTTCCCTTCCCTGGTCTGCAGATGCAGTAAAAAATGCACAAAGGAAAGCACTTTGCAGAGCTCGGATGGCCTGTTCGTCTCCTTGGCAGTGGCTGGCAGGTCAGGCCTGGGCACTCTGCCTTACCTGGATGACGACATCCCCCTGCTGAACGTGGAGGAGGAGCCAGGTAAGTCACGGATAGTGGGTCGCAAACACAGCTGCACATCAATACACAAAGCCAGCGGAATTGGGCTTTTCTCCTCGGTCTGTTCGCCTTGCCTGTTTCACCTTAAGGTTTTCGCCTCTGCGTTATTAGCCACAAACTTTTCTCCCCCCCCAGTCTTTCGTCCCGGCATATCGGCCACTGACCCTCCATCCCAGTCCCTTAGCCGGGGCCCATTTGTCGAAGTCCTAGACCCCAAGCCAGATATCTGTGTCTCCTTCCTAGAGATACTGGAGGAATTGATTAGAATAGAGCGGGAAGGGACCTTAGAGGTCTTCTAGTCCAACCCCCTGCTCAGGGATGGGCTTAAAATTTTAGCAACCTGCCCGGTTGCTGGGTGGGCGTGGCCATGGTGGGCATGGCCTAGCCAGCCTCCTGCACCACGGCATTTTTGCCCTCCCCAGGCTCCAGAGGCTTTTCTTGATCCTCCGGGAGGATGAAAACGGCCTCCCCAGGCTCCGGAGGCCCTCTGGTGGCCGGAAACGGGAGGGCCACGCACGCAACCTGCAATTACCTGCATCCAAAACGGGCCATGTGGGGACTCCTGGGAGGGGTGGGGCAGAGAGGGGTGGGCGGGGCCAGCCAGGAGTGGGATTTGGGGGTTCTCCGAACTGCACAGAATCTTAGCTAGAAGTTCTCTCGAACCCTTGTGAACCCCCAGCAGCCCCACCCCCGCCCCTGCTCAAACAGGAGACCCTCTACCATTTCAGACAGGTGGCTGTCCGGTCCCTTCTTAAAAACCTCCAGTGATGAAGCACCTACAACTTCTGGTGGCAAGCTGTTCCAATGGTTGATTGTCCCTCACTGTTAGGAAGTTTCTCCTTAATTCCAGGTTGCTTCTCTCCTTGATTAGTTTCCATCCATCGTTTCTTACCTTGCCTTCTGGCCCTTTAGAAAATAAATTGACCCCCTCTTCTTTGTAGCAGTGCCTCAAAAACTGGAATACTGCTGTCATATCACCCCTACTCCTTCTTTTCTCTAGACTAGCCAGACCCAATTCCTGCAATCGTTCTTCATGTAGTTTGATCTCCAGCCCCTTAATCATCTTAGTTGCTCTTCTTTGCACTTTTCCCAAAGTCTCAACATCTTTTTTTGTACTGGGGTGACCAAAATTGGATGCGGTATTCCAGGGGTGGCCTTACTAAGGATTTCTAAAGCGATGCTAACAGTGATTCTGATTCTATGCCTCTCTTTGTACAACCAAGGATTGTATTAGCTTTGTTGGCTGCCAACGCATGTCAGCATTCTGATGCTGCCATAAAAAGGAGGAGACGAGACTTGACTTTTCACCTACTTATTTTCTCTGTAGATAATATCCCCTAGGAGATGGGATGGGAGGGGGGGCATTCCTGTGGGTTGAGGTCAGAAGCTGGGGAGACTGACTTGGAAGATGGCCAATGAGAAGATGAGAATTGGGGAACGGAAAGGGAAGGGTTTGGGGGTCAGAGGGTTAGTATCGGCTACGACGAAGTCGGGGCCAGATCTGTCATACTCAATAAATGGAATATATCAGCAAAGATTAATTGTTTGAGAGTGCAATTTATTTGAGATGACATCGAAACCTGACACCGCACACTGCTAGCTCATGTTTTAAGCGATGGTTAATTAAGTTATTGTGTAATAACCTCTGTAAGGGGACGCGGTGACTCAGCGGCTGAGACGCTGAGCTTGTCGATCGAAAGGTCGGCAGCTCAGCGGTTCGAATCCCTAGCGCCGCGTAACGGGGTGAGCTCCCGTGACTTGTCCCAGCTTCTGCCATCCTAGCAGTTCGAAAGCATGTTAAAAAAAATGCAAGTAGAAAAATAGGGACCACCTTTGGTGGGAAGGTAACAGCATTCTGTGAGCCTTTGGCATTTAGTCATGCCGGCCACATGACCACGGAGACGTCTTCGGACAGCGCTGGCTCTTCGGCTTTGAAAGGGAGATGAGCACCGCCCCCTAGAGTCGGGAACGACTAGCACATATGTGTGAGGGTTAATACAGGGCTACGCCCAGGCTCCTTCCAGTTTCAGTTTCCAAACAGTTCTCACTGGTTGACTTAGTTGCTATCCCTATTCGTTGGCTGACCTTGTTACCATGTCTCTGCCCATCATGAATTCTCTGACAGACTAACTTTGCTTAGTTCGGTATCTAGAGGGCTTTGATCTGGTCTGTGGCCGGTGTTTGTATCATGTCCTTCAAGACGCCCTTCCCTTCTCTTTTTCTGGCCAGTTGCTCTAGAGATGGGGGATGTCCCCTTGGTATCTGTGTTGCCCGAAAACCACCACCTCACTACCAACAATGACAGCCCGGGACACCTGATCACTCACCTGCAGAAGCTCCTCCAGTGCTGGGCACTATGGTCGGCAGTCAAAAACAAATGGGTGATCGTTGGTAAGTCGCCTGCACCTAGGCACTTCCTTGATTTAAAAACAAGCTTATGGAGGCCTACCATAAGTAGAGTAGCCTGAGTATCATCTCATGCAGGGCCTCTGCCTGCCCCATGTTTCTCATTTCAGGGCTCTTTGTCTTGGTCCTCATCCTTTCCATCTTCTTCGCCAGCCGCCTTCGCCCAGCTAGCCGCGCCCCTCTCCTCTTCAGGCCCGATACCAACATCCAGGTGTTGATGGACCTCAAGTACAACTTGAGTGCTGAGGGCATCTCTTGTGTCACCTGCTCAGGTGAGTTCGACGGAGCCCATGAGTGTTCTGACCTAGGCTTTCCCAAACCACAAAGCATTTTTGTCCCTATCTTGACAAAAATCCATTTTTATTAAGTTACTGTGAATTCCTCTCATTCACCTTCAGCAAAGTCTTTCAAGGGAGAATTGACAGTCACAGACCTTATCTGGCTTGGAGAGCTGCCAGGCCGATATCTTCAAAACTTGGCAAGGAGTCTCGGAGAGTCACGAACCAATCAGCCGAACTAATTGTCTCTTGCAAACTCCCGTCCCCTTTCACTCCTCTTTTATTCCCTCTGGGAGGGGTCATTCATCGTCCACCTGTGGCTTTACTCCTGAGTCGACCCTTGTTCTTTAGCTGTTCCCTTCATCTGGCAACTCTGTGCATGCACACACTGGGAACAGGCTCCAGCTGTTCGTCTGCCTCACTGATGTCTGACTCCGAAGGCAGCTGATAACTGGCATCCGGCCCTGGCCCCCTCTCTGCCTCCGACGCAGAGCCCTCATTAGAGCCTTCCCCAGACTCCAGGACTGGCCCATGATCCTCCCCAACCTCCTCACTGTCCGAATCTGCTTCCAGCTCCACTGGCCACTGGCGGGCCACAACCATGAGTCGCCATGGTAGGACATGGCATGAGAGTGTCAATGACCTCCATGTTGTGTTCAGGTTGAACCATGTTTCTTCAAGATAAACTGATCTCTGGGAATGTTGGAAGGCAGGAGGAATCTTCTCATCCAAGGGAAATCTTTAGCTCTAGGACAGAACCCTTCCTTTCCCCTTAGAAACAGGGGTGTCCAATCTTGGCAACTTTGGGACTTGTGGGCTTCAACTCCCAGAATTCTGGGCGTTGAAGTCCACAAGTCTTAAAGTTGCCAAGGTTAAGACAGTCCTGCTTTAGAAGGCCTCCATTCCGTTTACCTATGACGGTCAGGACCCTGGACAGCTACATTCCCCCTGATAGCTGGATCAGTATGAAAAGATTCACAGGAAATACGAGTCTCTCGTATTTCCTGTGCTCACCAAGCATGGACAAGATCTCAGGTTTGATCCCACTCGTAACTAAATAGAGTTGGATCAATTACTGTTGGAAACCCAGGAGAACAGCTGCTGATCACATTATGAATTTCAGGCCAGAAGAGGCAGGCAGTGATTCAATAACCGGAGAGCAAGTTGTGTTCCCAGATCTAATTAGTCTTCTTCTGTACCAGAAGAACAAGAGAATTTCATTTTACCAAGCAGGCAGGCAGGCAGGCAGGTTCTTTTCAATTTATCCCAATAACTCTACGTTGAGGACTTAGAAGAGAAAGGCATTCCAATGGCCAACCTAAACGAGAATGGAATAGAATTCTTTATTGGCCAAGTGTGATTGGACACACAAGGAATTTGTCTTCGGTGCATAAGCTCTCAGTGTACATACAAGCAACAAGTGATAAATCTTGATCATATAGTCATCATAAATACATTCATCATGAACCATAAGAGTCAACACTTAGGTGATAGTCCTAGGATGCTAAATAAGCAATCAAAATCATACTAAGAATAGAATGGAATGGAATGGAATGGAATAGAAAATATGGAATGGAATGGAATGGAAAATATGGAATGGAATGGAATGGAATGGAATGGAATGGAATGGAATGGAATAGAATAGAATAGAATAGAATAGAATAGAATAGAATAGAATAGAATAGAATAGAATAGAATAGAATAGAATAGAATAGAATTTTATTGGCCAAGTGAGATTGGACACACAAGGAATTTGTCTTCGGTGCATAAGCTCTCAGTGTACATACAAGCAACAAGTGATAAATCTTGATCATATAGTCATCATAAATACATTCATCATGAACCATAAGAGTCAACACTTAGTGATAGTCCTAGGATGCTAAATAAGCAATCAAAATCATACTAAGAATAGAATGGAATGGAATGGAATGGAATAGAAAATATGGAATGGAATGGAATGGAAAATATGGAATGGAATGGAATGGAATGGAATGGAATGGAATGGAATAGAATAGAATAGAATAGAATAGAATAGAATAGAATAGAATAGAATAGAATAGAATAGAATAGAATAGAATAGAATAGAATAGAATAGAATAGAATAGAATAGAATTTTATTGGCCAAGTGAGATTGGACACACAAGGAATTTGTCTTCGGTACATAAGCTCTCACTGTGCATACAAGCAACAAGTGATAAATCATGAACATATAGTCATCATAAATACATTCATCATGAACCTTAGGAGTCAACACTTAGTGATAGTCCTAGGATACTAAATAAGCAATCAAAATCATACTAGGAAACTAAATAAAACAATATAAATTGTAAAGATACAAGCAACAAGGTTATGGCCATAAGTGGGAGGAGATTGGTAACAGGAAGGATGAGAAGAATAATAGTAATACAGTCATAGTAAATAGTTTGACAGTGTTGTGGGAATGAGTTGTTTAGCAGAGTTGATGGCACACGGGAAAAAACTGTCCTTGTGTCTAGTTGTTCTGGTGTGCAGTGCTCTATCACGTCGTTTTGAGGGTAGAAGTTGAAACAATTTATGTCCCGGATGTGAGAGGTCTGTAGATATTTTCACAGCCCTCTTTTTTGACTAACTAAAAACAATGCTATTTAACTTTTATTTATTTATTTTATTTTATTGAATTTGTATACTGCCCTACTCCCGAAAGACTCAGGGCGGTGAACAGCCATAGAATAAAACATATAAATACAAAATTTAAAATAAACTAAAACGAATTAAATAAGTTGGCTGAACAAATTTAAAACCCCAATAATTTAAAACCAAATTTAAAATTTCCATTTAAAAAGGGGAAAGATTTAGGTCAGGCCAGCTTGATGAAATAGGAAAGTCTTGAGCGCGCGACGGAAGGTACGCAGATCCGGGATCCTCCGTATCTCCGGGGGGGAGCTCGTTCCAGACTTTTGGGGTCCATTCTCATTGGTTAGACTCGTGCTTTGGGAATTGCCACCCCTCAGATCAATTGTTCTTCCTACTTGAGGTCCTACACCTATTGTAATGCTCTCTACATGGGGCTCCCCTTGAGGAGCATCCGGAGGCTCCAACTGGCGCAGAGTGCGGCCGCGCGGGTGGTAATGGGAGCGTCATGGCGCTCCCATGTGACACCTCTCCTGCGCGAGCTGCACTGGCTCCCGGTGGTCTTCCGGGTGCGCTTCAAGGTTTTGGTTACCACCTTCAAAGCGCTCCATGGCTTAGGACCTGGTTATCTACGGGACCGCCTACTACCACCAATAGCCTCCCACCGGCCAGTACGCTCTCATAGAGAGGGACTCCTCCGGGTGCCGCCAGCCAAACAGTGTCGGCTGGCGACCCCTAGGGGGAGAGCCTTCTCTATGGGGGCACCTACCGTCTGGAATGAGCTCCCCCCAGAGATACGGAGGATTCCGGATCTGCGCACCTTCCGCCGCGCTGTGAAGACTTTTTTATTCCATCAAGTGGGCTTGGCCTAATCTCCTCCCTCTTTTAATATGTAAATTTTAATCTGTTTTTAAATTATTGGGGTGTTTTAATCTGTCTGGGCCAAAATGATTTAATTTGATTTTATCTGGTTTTAAATTTTGTGTATTTATGTATTTTATTGCTTGGCTGTTCACCGCCCTGAGTCCTTCGGGAGTAGGGCGGTATACAAATCAAGTAAACTGAACTAAACTAAACTACACAATAGCTCTATCTAAGGGGCTCTTCAGAATGCAAATGTGTCCCTTGAATGAGTTTACGCAGCAGAAGGCCTCCGTGTGAAAACGGTGCTGCCGCCCTTGACGGGAGATGCTCTTTTGTCCCTGACTAACCTTGTGCGACAGGGTTGTTTCAGGAAAAACCCCGTAATCTGCAGAATAACATCCGCACCTCCCTGGAGAAGAAGAAGAGGGGGTCGGGGCCACCGGGAAGCGGCCGAGGGAGCCCCCAAGACGACAGAACTCTGCAGGGTGAGCATCATCCTTCTCTCGCGATCTTTTTTTTACGGGCCTCTCTCCATGGTTGGCTACCCTGTTAAGGTACCCTCGAGGAATCTAATCAGAATCATCGATTCGATCGGGGAAAAAAAATCAACCCGAAAACCAGCAAGCCCATGCTTCTTGGATTCAATGAGTAAATTGGGTTGATTCGATTCAGATTTGGAAACCGGTTTGAAAAAGGCCATTTCTACGCAAGGCACAGAGCCGGCGGCATCTGAATCCGTATCACCAATTCAATACCCACCTTGGATGTTGGCACCGCCTGCGTTCAAACTCGCCCCTGAATCCAGCTCTCTGTGTCTCTCTCCCTCTCCCTCCCTCCCTCTCTCTCTCTCTCTCTCTGTCTCTCTCTCTGTCTCTCTGTATCTGTCTCTGTCTCTCTGTCTCTCTCTGTGTGTCTCTCTGTTTCTCTCCCTCTCCCTCCCTCCCCCCTCTCTCTCTGTATCTGTCTCTCTCTCTGTGTGTATCTGTCTCTGTCTCTCTCTGTATCTGTCTCTCTCTCTGTCTCTCTCCCTCTCCCTCCTTGTCTCTCTCTCTCTCTCTCTGTATCTGTCCCTCTCTCTGTCTCTCTCTCTCTCTCTCTCTGTATATGTCTCTCTGTCTCTGTCTCTCTCTCTCTCTCTCCCACACCTATTCATCTCCGCCCCTGCCTTTTATCCGCAGAGCTAGGGTGGGGCTTCACTAGCAGCGGTGGCTCTTCCGTCCCAAGGAGCGGCCCATAGATTTCCACTGCTCTCCTCTCTTCTGCCTTCTGTGCATCCGCGCAACAGGCACTGGACCCAGCTGCTCCTCCTCTTCCTCATCAGCCACCTCCAGACCTGGGAGTTGTTGACTTTCCATCTGAGGGCTGATGGACAGCCCCAGCTCTGCCTCTGTCTCTCTCTCTCTGCCAGCTCCGTTCCCTCTCCCCGCTCGGAGCTCTCCGGTTGCCTTGATGCTGGCCCTGACTCCCACACCTCCTCCTCATCTGATTCAGCTGTTGGAGGGGCCGGCGGCCGACAGGCCACAACAGGTGATCTGATGACTGTCTTGTCTCCTCCAGATCCCCAGGGAACAGTCTACATCTTCAGATCCAAGGGCAACAGCCGGCCGGTGATCTACAGGTTTTCTCTCAACGCCACCGTGCCGCCACCGTGGCAGACGGTGCCGGCAAAAGATGGAGAAGTGCCGTCCTTCCAGGTAAGCATCGACAGGTGAAGGTGATGAAGAGGTGACTCCTTTGTCAGGGAGGACCATAAATCAGCACAGAGGGGCAAACTGGGCATCTTAGCTCCCTTCAGTAGGGCGTCGTCCAGCTTTTGCGTCGGTGGCATTGCCTAGAATGCCATCTTTTAAGATGCGTAGACTAGCTAGGTCTCCACTGAGTCTAGATCAGTGGTCCCCAACCTTTGTGGCTTGGCAGCGTCGTGGAGGGGCGGGAGAGGGGAACTGGGCTGCGTGAGTGGCAGGCCGGCATACACACACACATACACACAGTTCAGCTTGTGTGGACAGTGGGCATGTTGAGCTGCCCGCGTGTGCACAGCCCGCCGTTCACATCACCCGGTTGCAAAGAGGCCATAGCCCAGTAGTGAACCCCTTGTCTAGATTACTGTTGGACTGCAGGGCTGCTCATCCTTCCACGACGGTTGTGGGCAGTGGGACTTGTAGTCCAAAGTACTCTAAATGACCTCCTCTTTGAGCTGACAGTCAGGTGGCAGGTGCCAGCTCCCGGTTCCTTGCTCGCCACCCGTGCCTCTTGGCAGAGCCAAACAGAGAGGGGCATGCCACCCCTTAAGTTGTCTTTTGTGCCCTGTTTGCCCCCCCCCCCCCACCCCCTCCCGCCAGCCTCTAGAGACCTATAGTGAAGTGTTGTGTTTTCATTAATCCATGCTTAGGTGTATAAAGTTCCTTACGGTAACTTCACCAAGAGGCTGACCGCTTGTATGTCCACAGTAGGGCATGTCCAACCAGGGGCCAGCAAGAAGTGGATGATGACCAGCTTATCATGCGACACGAAGAGAGGGTGGAAATCCGACTTCAGCTTCTACGTGGCCACCCAGGAGCAACAACGCACACGGTAATGCCGAGCGGGTGGGCGGAGGCGGCCTGGCACGCGTCCAGACGGCCGTCGGAAGACGCTCGGCAATGAATCATTGGACGGAGCAGTCAGACAAAGTTGGGGGCGGGGCTGCATTTTAGGAGAAAAGTTTTTTCTCCTTCTTTTCCTTCAAATTTTGGGGAGCACCAGATTGGGGATAGCTTGTGTGTGCGTGTGTGTGTGTGTGTGTGTGTGTGTGTGTGTGTGTGTGTGTGTTCTGAGCTGGCTGTCACACCAGTGGGTTTCTTCTCCGTTCTGTGGTGGCGCAGTGGTTAGAATGCAGTACTGCAGGCTACTTCTGCTCACTGCCAGGAGTTCGATCCTGACCCGCTCAAGGTTGACTCAGCCTTCCGTCTTTCCGAGGTTGGTAAAATGAGGACCCAGATTGTCGGGGGCAAGTTGCTGACTCTGTAAACTTCTTAGAAAGGGGTGAAGCGGTATATAAGTGTACTAAATGCTATTACTAGTGCTATATAAGAGCCATGGTGGCACAGTGGTTAGAATGCAGTATTGCAGGCGGACTCTGCCCACTGCCAGCAGTTCGATTCTGACCAGATCAAGATTGTCTCAGCCCTCCATCCTTCCAAGGTGGGTAAAGTGAGGACCCAGATTGTTGGGGGGCAATAGGGCTGACTCTGTAAGCCGCGTAGAGAGGGCTGTAAAAGCACTGTGAAGCGGTATATAAGTCTTAAGTGCTATTGCTCTTCCCCAGGAAGCTGTATTTTGCCCAGTCACATAAGCCTCCGTACCACGGCCGAATCTGCCTGGCACCCCCGGGCTGCCTCCTCAGCTCCAGTCCAGATGGACCCAACAAAGGATACCTATTCGTGCCAAGCGAGAGAGGTGAGCCACCCGTGAAGTGGGTGGGGGGGAAGTGTGTTCTCTTCATTGTGGCACACTTACGGTTTGTTGCGATGCAGGGAGAGGAAGCAGAGGGAGGAGGCTGAAGGCCCTGGAGTGCTATTCAGCAGGTTCTGGCGAACCGGTAGCGGAAATTTTGAGTAGTTTGGAGAACCGGCAAATACCACCTCTGGCTGGCCCCAGAGTGGGATGGAAATGGAGATTTTGCAATATCCTTCCCCTGGAGTGGGGAGGGAATGGGGATTTTGCAGTATCCTTCCCCTGGAGTGGGGTAGGAATGGGGATTTTGCAGTATCCTTCCCCTGGAGTGGGGTGGGAATGGGAATTTTGCAGTATCCTTCCCCTGGAGTGGGGTGGGAATGGAGATTTTGCAGTATCCTTCCCCTGCGATGCCCTCCAAGCCACGCCCACCAAGCCACGCCCACGGAACCCGTAGTAAAAAAAATTGAATTCCACCACTGTCAAGGCCCTCTCCCTTGTGATAGCTCACGTGGGAGGGAAGGGGCTTTCTGCAGCCCCCTTAGTCTGGCCAACGTGCAGGGTTATTATGAGGATCAATTTAGGGAAGATACGCGAATACAGGTAGTCCTCAATACAGGTGAATCCAAAAATTTTGTTGCTAAGCGAGACATTCATTCCAGTGAGTTTTGCCCTATTTTGCGACCTCTCTTGCCACCGTTGTTAAGCGAATCACCGGAGTTGTTCAGTTAGTAACACGGTTGTTAAGTGAATCTGGCTTCCCCGTTGACGTGGCTTGTCAGAAGGTCGCAAAAGGTGATCACATGACCCAGGGACCGTCATAAATATGAGTCAGTTTCCAGGGCGTCTGAATTTGGATCACATGAGCATGGGGAGGCTGCAACGGTCGTAAGGGTGAAAATGGCCAATAGCTGTATTGAGATAATTGCTAGGTTCTGGGCTGGAACGCGAATTACCCAACAACTCCCAATTTAAAGATGGGGTTCTTTAAATTTGTCCTCTTGTCCTGTCCTACTTCGGATGACTAAAGCCTCAACATTATCACCCTAACAGCTACGCCACTTCAGGGGTGAAATGCTATCGGTTCGGACTAGTTCGCCCGAACTGGTAGTAATAAATGCTACCGGTTCAGGCGAACCGGTATTTCCGACGATCAGCTGTGCCGCGCAATTTATATTCATTAGAAAGCAAGAAATCCTAGAAAGCTGTTTCCCCCTCCTCGCTATTCTATTTAACTTTGCAGACTCAGACAAGGCTTTTTAATCCTCCTTTTTCAGCGCCTGCGGTGCACATGCGCGCGAAGCAAACCGGTAGCAAAGCGAACCGGTAGCAGACGAGCGTTTCACTCCTGCACCACTTCCTTGCTCTGTCCTCTCTCCTTCTCCAGCCTCTGCCAGATCCAGGTTCTCCATCACGTCAGGATTCAACCCTTGCAGGAACGGCAACTGCGGGAAGCCTGCCGTGCGTCCGCTGGTGGACACGGGCGCCATGGTCTTCGTAGTGTTTGGCATCCTTGGGGTCAACCGTACCCGGCACACCGACAACCACGTCATTGGAGACATGGTGCGCGTTGTCCTTTCCTGGGGTCTGTGGGGCTGGAGGAGCCGTCCCAAGTCGGGATTTCGCTTACATGTTCCTCTTCGCCGCTTGTATCTCCTTTGGAAAGGGTAGCGTCATCTACGACAGCAGCTTCGACCTGTTCAAAGAAATTGGCAACCTGTGCCGGATCTGTAAGGCCATTGCCAGCAACGCCGAGCTGGTCAAACCAGGAGGAGCCCAGTGCCTCCCTTCAGGTATCTCCCCTTCTCCTTTTCAGGCCTCGATTCTGTGAGCCACAGTCTCTTGTGGGCCTCTCTGGTGTTGACCAGGAACCTAAGGTCTCTAGTGACAGTCTAGAGGGAGCATATGTGCATATGAGCAGCATCGCCTCTGAAGGCCTTCAAGGTCATGGAAGGTTCCTCAGTAAACACCCAATGTCCTTGGAAGACCTCCAAGGGAGATCGATGACTATTTCTGTACTTCTTTATCTTATCTTGAGTAAATGGAGTGTGCCAATGTTTCTTGGGTGGAGGAGTGGAAAATGTAGAAATATGAGTGTCAAAGTGTGTTCAGGTTTGCTCTTGCTAAGGAGGGGGCCGTCTTTATTCAGCTGAATAATGTTGTGGCCCGTACGTGGCCTGTACAGCTAGTAGCTGATTCAGACAGCGAGGAGGCTGATGTGGTGCTGTGCCAGCAGCCTGTGCAGCTGGCACTCGAGTCGGACAATGAGGAGGCTGGAGAAGATGTGGTGCCAGAGGCGGGGATTCAGCCAGGGCCTTCAGAACCTCCAGAAGCTCCCTTAAGTGAAGAGGACGAAGAAGAGGAGCCTCTTCTCGATGCACGGGCGTGCAGAGCTGCCAAAAGGCAGGAGTGGCTCCTCAGGAGGAGGTCTCCTCAAGAGTAAGGTTTGGGGCTAATTGGCCACTCCCTTAACCTATTTAAGGAGGAATGCCGACTGAAGCAATTTGCAGGGAACAACTTCGTTCACATACCTTTGTGTCTTGTCTTGCTTATCTTATCAGCTTCCTGCAAATTGCTTCTGGGCATTCTGCCAACCACAGTAAGCTTTCAGTTATTATTCTTTGAATTCTTGGTGGCTGTTAATGCAATTAATTAACAGCAGTTGTTGTAAAAGACTGGTTAATTCAGTAAACTAAGGTTTGAATGGACTTTGTGTGTGCTGCGTTCTTTGAGGTCCGTAGCTGGGGCAAAACAAATAAACGCATAAAAGCTATCGAGGCAAATACCTGGACTCTGTCTTTCTTTATACCAAGCTGCACCTGAAACTGGCAAAATGCTGGCATTCTTTAAAAGAAAAGCAGAATGAAAAGAGTCTCCCCTTGGATTTAAAAACAGTAAGCTTCTAGTCCTTATGAGGTTTGTGCCTGTGGACGAATTCTGCCCTTCAGCTTGTCTGAAATCTTAGAAATCGGGGGCTGTTTTTATTAAGTTGGTCGACATAAAAGATGGAGATGGTTGAGCGATATAGCCGGGGGAGGGTCATACATGGCAATCCAGTGGCGATCTTTTCTCGCCTGGAGGGGCTGCCAGTCTGTCAATTCTTTAGCCAGAGAAAAAGGAAGGAAAAAATCTCGCAGCCTGTGGATCGTGCGTATTGCTGTTGTGAGACGCCCAGCAAGATAGGTGGCCGTACAAATCTAAATAAAATAAAGACTTTATGAACATAGATATGTGGGCAGTTTTTGTTATGCCCCGCCACCTACCAATGGAGCTGGCGGCAGACTCGGACGGTGAGGAGGTTGGGGAGGAACTTGGGCCAGTTCTGGAGTCCGGGGAAGGCTCTGATGGATGCTCTGCATCTGACGCAGAGATAGAGCCAGGGCCGTCCGACATTCCCCAGCTACCAGCGAGGCAGCTGCCTTTGGAGGCTGATATGAGTGAGGAGGAAGAACAGCTGGGGCCTGTTCCAGATGCACGTATGTGCAGAGCAGTTAGGAGAGGTGAACAATGGAGGACAAGGAGTCGACTTCAGGAAGCAAAGCACAGGTGGATGCTGAATGGCCCCTTCCTGGCTGGGGAATAAATAGAAAGAAAGGGGAGTGGTGGTCGTAGGGGACAACTGTTCGTATTTCTGTCGATTTCGCTCATTGTGTTTCGTGCCACAAAGACTGCTTGCCAGCACTTTAATTTGCAGCCTTTCTTTCGGCTGGGAGCTCACGGCCTGGCAATTATTGCAAGGAACTGATAAGGTCTGTTGCTGCAGTTAACTCCTTGAAGGACTATTGCCTGGACTTTTCGATGGGTGAATGAAATTAATTCACAAGAGGTAAATAAAGAGAGGTTTTTCGTAATAAGGAGTCTGCTTCTTGCTTCTGCTAAGGCTGAGTCAGAAGAGTTTTGCAGACCCCGATTTGCAGAATACACGGGGGAAAAAAACCAGTTTTCTTTCCCTTTTTTAGGCTACAGTGTCTCCTCTGTCCTTCAGATGCTACACCCAGAATGTAAGAACCTCCCTGAGCCCAACCTGCTTCCCGGACAGCTCTCCCACGGGACGGTGGGGGTGAAGGACGGCAAGGTCCAATGGATCTCCATGGCCTTTGAGTCGGTGAGAGACCCCTGATTTCCCGTTCTGGCTTTCTGAGATCGCCATGCCCTTTTTCGTCTCCAGAACTGGAAAAAAAAACGGATCAAGATCCTAGTCCTCAAGAAGCTAGACTTCCAAACTCTCAAGAAAGCTGCCCCAAAAAAGAGGAAAAGCCTAAGAAAACTTGGAAGAAATGTTTTCAGGCTTGCAAAATTGATGTTAGCCCTTCAAGGTAGTCCAGACAAGAAGCACAGCAATGAATAGCAGCTAGTATTTCTCCCCTCCTTTCCTTTTGCTATCTAGAAAACTAGGGAGGGTCCTTTCTGAGGTGCTTCCCACACCCCTTTTCCTTCTGCGGGCTCAGCTGCCTCTTATCCAACCATTGCAGGGGTGAAATGCTACCGGTTCGCTCTGGTTTGGGCAAACTGGTAGCGGCGGTGGCGGGTAGTTCGGTGAACTGGTAGTGGCAGCAGTGCAAGGCTCCGCCCACCTGCCCGGACGTCATTACTCCCTGGTTTTAACCAGGAAGTAACCTGTTTTTGACCCTCTGCACATGCTTAGAGGGTCTAAAATCAGACGTGAAAATGGCGCGCGCACAGCGCACGCACTTCCGAACTGGTAGGGAAGGTAAGTAGATTTCACCCCTGAACCATTGTCCAGTCTGCAACTTCCCTTCTGCCCACCAAGGTCATTCCCACTTACAGTATGAGGGCACTCACGCAGCCCTGGAAAGACAGGATTGCATCCAGTTTCGGTCACCGTATGATAAAATAATGTCGAGACTTTGGAAAGAGTGCAGAGAAGAGCAACAAAGATGATTAGGGGTCTGGAAGTTACAACATATGAAGAACGGTTGCAGGAATTGGGTAGGTCTAATCTAGCGAAAAGACGACTAGGGGTGACATGATAGCAGTCTTCCAATATCTCAGGGGCTATCGCAAAGATGAGGGGGTCCACCTATTTTTCCAAAGCACCAGAAGGCAAGACAAGAAGCAACGGATGGAAATTAATCAGGGAGAGAAGCAACCTAGAACTAAGGAGAAATTTCTTAACAGTGAGAGCAATTAACCAGTGGAACTACTTGCCTCAAGACGTCGGTGCTCCATCACTTTTAAGAAGAGATTGGACAACCACTTGTCTGGAATGGGGTATAGGTTCTCCTGCTTGAGAAGGGGGCTGGACTAGAAGACCTCCAAGGTCCCTTCCATTCTGTCATTCTACCTTGTCCTTTTCCTCTAACGTCCCACTCCTTCCTTCCTTCCTTCAGACCACCTACAAGGGAAAATCATCCTTCCAGACCTATTCCGATTATCGCAAATGGGAAACCTTCCTTCAGGACCAGATCCGGCAGTTTCCGGAAGGGTCGTCGCTACGCAGAGGTTTCCAGACTTGTGAGCATTGGAAGCAGATCTTCATGGAAATCATAGGCGAGTGATAGGATCAGAATGAGAAATAACTCTGATTTATCGTTGCTAGCAAATGTGTTTATTAAACAAATGTATTTGGCCGGTTAACATACGGTGACTCCATGCAGCTTGCAATATGTTCGTGCTAAGAGAGGAAGGGTAAAATCCTAAACACTTCCTGATACTCCTGAACATGGCTGCAGTACATGTCCCACTACTCCTGATTGTTGCTGTAGAGCAGGGCTCTTCTATGACTTATGGACGTCAACTCCCAGAATTCTAGAAGTTAAAGTCCACGAGTCATAAAGGGCCTATAGTTCCGGACTGAAATGCTCCCGGTTCAGACCGGATCGCCCGATCCGGTAGCGATGGTGGCGGATGGTTCAGAGAACCGGTAGCAAAAATCCCTGAGCCCTCCCCATGCCCAGCTGAGCCGCACGATCATCAGAGGCTTTTTTTTTACTTTTAAAAGCATTTTTTCTACAACCTCTTCCGACGAAAAAATGCTTTTAAAAGTAAAAAAAAACAGCCTCTGATGATTGCGCGGCTCAGCTGGGATCGTCAGAGGCTTTTCAAAGCATTTTTTTCTGCAACCTCTTGGCCGAAGAGGTGGTTTAAAAAAATGCTTTGAAAAGTCTCTGACGATCCCAGCTGAGTTGCCTGATCGGCAGAGAGGCATTTTTTAAAAAGCGTCTCTGATGATCCCAGCTGAGTTGCCTGATCGGCAGAGGCTTTTCAAAGCATTAGAAAAAATGCAAAATGATTCTTGCTCTCTCTTCTCGCCTGTCTGTCTCTGTTCCAGGTGTGCAAAGTGCGCTTTTCGGCCTCATCCTTTCCCTGGTGATCTGCATCGCCGCTGTCGCTCTCTTCACCACCCACCTTCTCCTCCTGCTTCCCGTCTTGCTCACCATTTTAGGTACCGGGTGCTCTATCCAAATTTCCCTGCCTCGACCCATCCCGGCTCTCTATTCTTGCGGTGCGCAAGGAAAGAGTCCTGGCTGAATTCGTATAAGGCCCTGATTTGTGTTTTGTTTTGTTTTGCTTTGTTTTGTTTGTTTTTTTGTTTTGTTTTGTTTTGTTTTGTTTTGTTTGTTTTGTTTGTTTTGTTTGTTTTTTTGTTTTGTTTTGTTTTGTTTTGTTTTGTTTTGTTTTGTTTCGTTTCGTTTCGTTTCGTTTCGTTTCGTTTCGTTTCGTTTCGTTTCGTTTCGTTTCGTTTCCGTTCCGTTCCGTTTCGTTTCGTTTCGTTTCGTTTTTTCACCTGAATGTCAAAGCAAGCCACCAACCCTTCCCAGAAGCCAAGTTTGAGAAGTTTCCCCACTCTCTTTTCATTCATTTTCGAGCAGGGGTCTCCAAACCCCTGGGGCCGTGGCCTATTTGGAACTGGGCCCCACAAGAGACAGGGCAGGGTGTACGTGTGCACAGCTCAACGAGCGGTGGGCCCCCCACACAGGCATGGACGTGCCATTTACATGTCCCGGTTCTCCTCTCCCCTTCCCAGCTGGGGCCACCAAGCCACAAAGTTTGGGGACCGCTGTTTTAGAGGGACTTTGGCGAAGTAAGATGGCTACACGAGATGACGCCCAGCCTGCCTTTCCCACCTCCTGAAAAGTTCCAAAATTTTCCTCGCTCCTTTCACCAGTAACAAAATCAGTGCCAGGCAGGGAGGGACAAAACTTTTGGTTTCAGCTTTGAAGGGCGAATTTTGATGGGTGCTGATCTCTTTCGTCAGGCGTCGTCTGTCTCGTGGTGACTGTCATGTACTGGTCGGGCTGGGAGATTGGGGCCGTGGAAGCCGTCTCGCTCTCCATCCTGGTGGGCTCCTCGGTGGACTATTGCGTGCATCTGGTGGAGGGCTTCCTTCTGGCTGGGGAGAGCCTCCCCCCGCACCTGGCAGAGGTGAGGCTTTGTCTTGGGGCATCATCTTCTTCTTCCTCTCCCCTACTTCTACGTCCAGGAGATAATAGCAATAACCCTTAGACTTACATACCACTTCACAGTGCTTTTACAGCCCTCTCTAAGCGGTACAGAGTCAGCATATTGCCCTGACAATCTGGGTCCTCATTTTACACAACTTGGAAGGATGGAAGGTTGAGTCAACTTTGAGCCAGTTGGTCAGGATCGAACTGCTGGCAGTGGACAGAGTTAGCCTGCAATACTGCATTCTAAGCACTGGGAAGGAAGGAAGAAAAGAAGGAAGGAAGGAAGGAAGGAAGGAAGGAAGGAAGGAAGGAAGGAAGGAAGGAAGGAAGGAAGGAAGGAAGGAAGGAAGGAAGGAATAATAGCACTTAGACTTATATACCGCTTCACAGTGCTTTACAGCCCTCTCTAAGCGGTTTACACAGTCAGCCTATTGCCCTGACAATCTGGGTCTTGATTTAAGTTTAATGCGATTTATATTTGACCGACATCGGAAGGATGGAAGGCTGAGTCAACCTTGAGCCTGGTGAGATTTGAACTGCCAAATTGCAGGCAGCCAGCAGTCAGCAGAAGTAGCCTGCAGTACTGCACTCTGACCACTGCGCCACTATGATAATCGCCATGATAATCACGCAGGGCAACAACTCTGGAATAGGGAAAGAGAGCTATTAAGCACGCCCCATTCCCCTTGAACTATTCCTCAAAGCCCAGCCCGACCCCGAGCAATATTTCAGAGCCATCTCTTGGTGTACGCCACCTTCTAAAATGCTCGCTGAGCTAAAGATGGGTCCAAAATTCGATCGGCCACTTGCTCCAGCGACTGAAGTTGAGAATCCAAGGCAGCTACTGGTTTTTTTAGGTGGCACCAGGAAGGTTCAGTGCATGTATTTGGGGGGGGGAGGTGGGGGGGGGAGAAACCGCCAAGGGGGCCCATCTTATAACACAGCACACATCCCGTTGGGTGTGTCAAAGTTTGCATGAGAATAAAAAAAAAATCACATGCATTTCAGGTGCCGCTTGGGTTTCTCTAAGGGTGAAGAGTGGGGGAAACCTAAAACGGGATAAGCGGTCTTGGTGGGGGGGGGAGAGAAGCAGAGCTGACCTCTCTCTTGTGGCCCGCAGGACCCCAGCTCCAGTCGCCAGTGGAGGACGGTGGAGTCGGTGCGCCACGTGGGCGTGGCCGTCGTCTCCAGCGCGGTCACCACGGTCATTGCCACCATTCCTCTCTTCTTCTGCATCATCGCGCCCTTTGCCAAGTTCGGGAAGATCGTGGCCCTCAACACGGGCCTCTCCATCCTCTACACCCTGACTGTCAGCACGGCTTTGCTGAGCATCATGGGGCCGCCTGCGTTCACCCGCAGCCGGACTTCTTTCCTCAAGGCGTTACTGGGGGTGCTGCTGGCCGGGGCGGGTGGCCTCGGCTTTTATTTGGTGCTGCTGAGAAGCGGATTGGAGATCCCCCTCCTCAGTGGGCCCGGCTTATAGCCCACAGAGACCCTCCTGCCCATTTTCCCCTCTCTCTCAAAAAAAAAAAGAGAGAGAGAGAGAGAGAGAGAGAGAACACTGTAGGGTGAGGCTTCTTGGGTGCATGATCTTTTCTGGGGGGTGGGTTCTGATCCTGTTCCATGGGAGTTGTTGCTGGGAATGCAGCTCTCTTGTCTGTGGACCACTCACCCGTCGGCAGAATGGGAGTCCCGGAGCTGTTCTCCGTCTCCCGGTGAAATCAAAGCTGGAGTCCTTTCCCATGCACACGATGAGAAGCCAGGGCAGAGGAGAAAGACGGGGTCCTCCTGGGCAGTCCAGAGAGGAACAACCCCCCCCCCTCTCAGGGGTGAAATATACTTACCTTCCCTACCCGTTAAAACCAGGAAGTAATGATGTCTAGGCAGGTGGGCGGAGCCTTGTGCTTCCGCCGCTAGCAGTTTGCTGAACCAAGCGGTTCGCGCGAACCGTTGTAAACCGGTAGCATTTCACCCCTGCCTCCACTTTCCATCTCTGGGACCAGCTGACACGTTTCAGGCTTTTCGGCAGCTTCCAGAAATTCTGCCTCTGGTTTTTTCGAAGGTTCCCGGTCAGAAGTCCGGGAGAAAACGTCCTTGGCTTCCCACAACCCGTATCCCCTTCCTCGCCTTCGGTTTTCCACTTGCACTTTAATTCCTACCTCCCCTTGGCTTGTTTCCAGGTAGGGTTTTATTGGGGGTTGGGTTGGGGCGAGAAATAATGAGGATCTGGACAGGCGAACAATTGTCCACCTTTGGTGGAAGGAAAAGAATCAGAGGCTGCCTTCTTCGTTGGCTTCTTCGAGACGTTTTTTTTCCCCTTCCCTGCTCTGAAAATCTTTCCCAGCTTCGCCTTTTATGAAGATATATATATATATTTAGAGCTTGGTTGCCGTTGCTCGCTCCCTCCCCAGCTATTGGCATTTCCGTCTCCCATTTTGGATTTGCAAACCACGTGTTTGGGGGTATTTTTGGTTTTTGGGGATGAGAAACGGCCAGAGTTGAACCATGGGGCTGGCTGGGAATTCTGGGAGTTGAAGTTCCCAAGGATGAGAAGCACTCCAGCTGACCCGTCTCTTGTTCTTGAGAAGGTGTTCAAACTCCGCCTGGAAGCGACAAGCGGATTGAAATTTCTCCCCTTCGAATGTCTCAAATCTAGCCTTGAGTTCGCCCTTAGATGTCTTGCTTTTTCCTTCCTTCCTTCCTTTCCTTCCTTTCCTTTTCCTTCCTTTCCTTTTCCTTCCTTCCTTTCCTTTCCTTCCTTTCTTCCCTTTCCTTTTCCTTCCTTCCTTCCATCCATCCTTTCTTTTTCCTTCCTTCCTTCCCTTCCTTCCTTTCCTTTCCTTTTCCTTCCTTCCTTTTCTTTCTTTCCTCCCTTCCTTTTCTTTCCTTTTCCTTCCTTCCTTCCTTTCCTTTTCCTTCCTTCCTTCCTTTGCTGT